ATACAATGATTGGATGGCCCTTAGCAACTTGCCATCAATCCCGTATGTACGAAGGCATGTCCACAGACTGGTGCGTGGGATACGGTCATACCCTTTCTTTAGGTCCACAAAACGCGTACACCGGCTGGGCGTACTCATGAAGCCACACTGCTTTTCATGGATCTTGAGGTCAACTATTTCACGGCACCTCCTTTCTAATACCTTTGCGTAGAGTTTACTTGGGAGGCTCAGTAACGTTATGCCCCTATAATTGGAGCATTCCTTGTGGTCTCCCTTCTTGGGGACTTCCTCTTCGATATATCTCAACGCGCCGTAAAGCTAATGTGTACAGGAGAAGGGTACCGTGAATATAAGTTCATCGGGAAGGAATCGAAGCCACCTTCAGTATTTAGCTATGAAAAGTGTGTGGTAAACATTCAGTTTACTACGTTATGAAGCGTTTCAAACTTATTGGGTTTTAGGCATTTCGAAAGATTCGTTGCGGATCAGTGCGGAAAGTTCACAGCGCGCATTTTTCCGCTTGCCGATGTTTATACGACGACCGTTAAGGATGCTTCCGACGGCGATAAAAGAGGAGGTGATACCCGTGGCAAGTGTAAAATCATGCCACGCTGCCCGTAAGAATGGTAAGAACATTCGGCGTGGTGCGTACTCGCGTTTGGCTATGTAATAGCAACTTGCATAGAATCCATCGTAACGATAACGTACGTCGACCATCGGAACCGTGAACGGAAGTTGCGCTTTAGCGTGCTTGCGGGGAACACCCAGACGGTTATAGATGTCATTGCGAAATTGCTGATTGGTCGCGACTGCTTCAGTTCGTCGTCATAGAAAGGCCAAGAACAGCTCAACATAAACAGTGATTCGAAAGAGTGTTCAAAAATGAACTTGGTTTTAATGCAACAAATTTGCACAGGTAAGAATAACAACAGCTTCAACAAAACCTAGGCATAAGACGCAGACCGAGGAAAGAACGCGCGTCCATGAAAATCACATGAAAATCTTCTCAATGAAAGGCGCAAGTCAACGTCCAGAACCTGTTGATCAGAACTGAACTGCGATTAGTGAGGATCGTATTCTCGTATCCACTCACCAACTACCGACAGACCAATCAACCGTACTGTTTTTGATGGTCGTAGTGTGTTTTGTGCCGGTCGAGCACGAACATGAGCGCGGCAAGACCCATGATGACTCTCTCGTTTCGTTCACTACAGTAGATAAGTAGTTCTAGATGATCAAGTAGCGTTAGTGGCCGGTTTGGAACGTGTTCGTGTTCCTCCGGAGTCAGAGGTGGCGACGGTGGCTGTGTTGCGGCGGGCAGCGTCTTCGGGGCGCGCTGCCAAGTCTTGACTTGCTGTGCTGGCCGTTGAAGACTGAAATCACAAACAGCGTTAAACTTGAAATGTAACGCCTGCGATTGCTGATAAAAAGTTATCTCTACGTTTGCGTTTTATCCGAAAAACAAAATCAAGTAATCGATTAATGTGTTGCAAGAGATACACCGAGCTACGTTACAGTAATGTATAGTTATCAACGGACAGAATATAGCCGAGATTTTAACTGCATCCCACAGGTACAACTCAGCTTGGAGGCATGATGGTTTTCTAACGGAGGTCATCGTTTACACAACCAATGCCGAAAACGGAAAGCCCAATTTGACAGCTGTACAAATAAGTGTTCTAATTAATCCATCAGTACTAGTCATTAATCCGCTCTGAATAATCACTAATTAAGCGATATTAGTCGTGATCACAAAGACGTAACGTCGCCATGTGATAAATTGATTTTTCATAGAAAGAGGTGACGAGGCTTTAAAGGCATGATAGCTATTCCAGGCACTGTAAAAAGCGTTTCGCATTTCTGAGCCGTTCGAAAAATGCTTTCTTCCTAAAAAGACTACTGCGGCGTCTCTTCGACGGTCGGACGAACTTACACGATGAAAAACTCCGCAATCTACCGACGAATTTTCTTCACCGCATGTCGGCCAAGGTTCGAAAACCCGCAGGTACATCGTTCTTTGCACTTTACCAACCTTAGATCTAAACGATGGTTCGATGA